TAACAAAAGCGAGCCATTAAGTGTGGAGATTCCTTATTGGTTGACTGATGTATCTAGTTTATGCTAATTAAGATAAGAGGCTTCCACTCCTGCTGTATCAACATACACAAGTTATTCGTGTCGTCCCCCCCCCATTTTGCTGCAGCCGGACTTTGGCAGTGTACTATGGATTTTTTTCTGTCAAAGATATTATTGAAACACCCCTATGAATGGAGGCTAATAGGAGCTTGAGTTTTCTGTAGAAGGAAAACAATTTTGAATATATATCTGCCTAAGGGGAGAAAATATATTAATTTATTATGAAAGGAAGAAATAATAAGAAGCAGAAAAAATATTTACTTTAGCAGAAAGTTTACTATTTTAAAACCAAAGATAATTTCCAGAATRTCAGAGTTAATAAGAACTTCAAAGATCATTCCCTTAATCTGCAGGTCAAAAGAAAAAGAGCCACTTGGAACATTTATAATAATTCACTAATTAATCAGTGATAATCCCCTAAGTCAGAATTTGGTATTCTACCTCTCATTGCCTCAATATCAAGCTGTTTTTCTTCTACCTTCCTTTTGTAATTTAAGTTAAAGTGCAATTTGCAAGCAGATATGTAAAATCACTAGACCTAACGTCTCAAGATAGTCAAGTGGGGGCACCAGTACTGATTCACTTCTTCCTTCATAAAGAAAAACCAAAACAACAAGTGTGCAGCTGCATTTTGAGGTGAGTGACCATGGAGAATACAGAAAACCAGCAAGACAGAGACTAGAACCTAGTAAGATGCACAGCCCTGATTCAGAAAAAGCATTTAATAAGACCCAACAGCCCTTCATGATAAAAGGTCTGAATACATCAGGTATAGAAGGAAACAAATGCTACATATGACAGACTCACAGCCAACATCATATTGAATGGAGAAAAACTAAAAGCATTTCTAAGATCAGAAATAAAACAGGATGCCACTTCACAACTCTTATTCAATATAGTACCACAGATTTTTCTAGAGCAACTAAGACACAGAAAGAAATGAAAAGGATACAAATAGAAAGGGAGGAAGTCAAATTATCCCTGTTTGCATCTGACATGATTCTCTACATAAAAACTTAAAGAGTCCACCAAAAGACTATCAGAACTAATGAAGAAATTCCATAAAGGTGCAGGTTGAAGGACATAAAAATCAGTAGCTTTTCTATATACCAATAATAAATTCGCTAAGAAAGAAACCATGAGGGCAATGCCATTCACAATGGCCACAATAAAAATAAAATGCCTAGAATAAACTTAACTAAGGAAGTAAAAGATTTCAATAAAAATCATAACACACCGATGAAAGAAGCTAAAGACACTAAAAGATGGAAATACCTCCCATGTTTGTGAATTAGAAGAATCATTGTTGAAATGTCCATACTACCAAAGCCACCTACACATTTAATGCAATAGCCATCCATCAAAATACTAATGACATTCTTCACAGAACTAGAAAAAAAATCCTAAATTTGATATAGAAATACAAAAGACCCACAACAGTCAAGGCCATTTGGAGCAAAAAGAACAAAGCTGGAGGCATTATGATACCTGATTTGAAGACACACTACAGAGCCATGGTAAACACACAGACCAGTGGAACAGAACAGAGATCCCAGAAGTAAACCCACCCATCGACAGCCTGCTGCCTCTCAACAAAGGTGCCAAAAACATACACCGGAAATGACAGGATCTTCCACAAATACTCCTGGAAAAACTAGATGTCTACATGCAGAAGATTGGTACTTGTCCCTCCCTCCCAGCTCTGTCCAAAAATCAACTGGAAATGAACCAAAGACCTAAGTGGAAGCCATGAAGCTCTTAACTACTCTAAGAAAACACAGGGGATATTCCAAGACCTCAGTGTACGCAGTGATTTTCTGAGAAGGACCCTAAAAGCATAGGGAAAAAAAACAAATATTGACAAATGGAATTACATCAAGCTAAAAATATTCTGTACAGCAAAGCAAACAATCCTCAAAGTGAAGAGGCAACCTAAAGAACAGGTGAACACAGTTGTTAGCTATTCATCTGACAGAGGGTGAATATTCAGGACATACAAGGAACTCAAAAAACTTGAAAATAAAAAATAAGTGATTCGATTAAAGTCAGGAACTTGATCTAAATAAACAATTCTCAAAAGAAGAAATACAAATAGTCAATAAGTATATGAAAAATGCTCAATATCATTAGCCATCAGAGAAATGCAAATCAAAAATACAAAGAGATACGACCTTATCCTTGTTACTGTAGCTAGTGTATTAAAAAAAAAAAA